GTGGTAAGTTTAATTATTGTGTGTGTGTGTGTGTGTGTGATATATATATATATATATATATATATATATGTATATATATAATTAGAATTATTATAATATATTCATAAATAAGCAATTTTATGCTTTAGAAATTCTTGTAGTATAATTAAATATATGATGTGATTTCTATATAATTTGCTTCTTGTTTGATTGCAGCATTTGTATTATATATAGGTTTCTGATTTATCTCTGCACTGTTATTACAAGCAATGTCTATTTAATCTTTTATGAATTCAAGATGTATTATGAAATCTAATGCTGAAATCAATTATCTATTCTATTTATAGTATAACTTATTCCTAATTATTAACAATACAATTTATAATGCAATAACTGATGCAATAAATGATATACTAACAATGCAAATAATATCAATAAAGTTTTAATTGAAATCCTTAATGTATTAATTTATTTTTTTCATTTGAAATTGTTGGTCAATGAAAATATTTACAATTGTCTTCCTTTATATAGGTATATGTTGCAGTATTCCAGCCATTACGGGTGTCTCGTCATCAATTCAGAAAAGTATTAAATTGCATGAAGGTCATTCGTCAGTTGAAGTATCAAGAAGTTTATGCACAAGAAAAGGTGACCAAAGTCGATTCTTTATCGTTGGTGCTGTCGGGGAAGTAAGACTTTATTTTTATTTAAATTCCCTAGGCATATTTGTTGCGAGAGTTATCTATTTATTTATTAAATTATATTTATCTTTCTTTCTCTTTATAGACTAGTTGTCTCACAAAATGGGAGAGCATTGCATATTGTCTTCCCACATCAGTTCCTAGATTCTCCAGAATGGTTTGGTGTCTCGACAGACGAATATTTCCAGGTAAATCATTTATATCAAGCTTTCTTCTGCGGTATTTTTTATTATATATATATTTTATTATTGATATAATTCAAATTCTTATTTGATAATTTCAATATAATTAATATAAATACTTGATATCACTTTCTGTTTTGTATAGGTGTCAATAACAGCTATGGAAGAATCAAGGATATTGTTATGGCATAGAGACAAACTAAAGTTAAGCATAATTAGCGATCAATTCTTGCAGGCAGTGTTTGATCACATTCTGGGCAGAGACGTAGTTAAGAAATTAATGCAGGTATTAATTTTTTTATTACCTTTTTTTAAATTAATAATGTTTTTTATGCTATATTGTTTATTGAACTATAAAATTAAATTTAATAAAAAATTAATATTTGTAATATTGTATCGCTCTGTAATGTTTATTTACGATAGGTGAGTGAAACAATGGCTGCTAGTAGTCATCAGCAGCAGAACGGACAAATAATCGGTCTAGGTGGAATTGGAGCCTTAGAAAATGATGCTGATACAAAACTTTTTGTTGTAAAAAAGACTGGTGATAGTCAAGGCATTACTGCTCTCATCAGTCGTCAACTTCAAGGTACGTATCTGCGATTTTTACTTTTGGATTGAAAACTTGCAAGATTCGATCGAAAAATACGTATGGTAATACGTACGTTTTTCTTTTTGTATTATTACTTAGAATTTCCATTTTCATTGCTATGTTTTAATATATTAGGATATATAGTTTCTTCTTAAAATGAAGGAAATTATATCTATACTGTATATTTTTAATAAATTCTTGTCGGTAATTCTTTCCTATAGTTAGCAAAATGCACATTTCTCACATTATTCAAGCATGCGCATGTTTTGTATGCATCCAGATTTTTTCTTATTTTTGTAATATTCTTATTTTAACACGACTTTACGTAATATAAGTATAATTTTACTCATTATATATAACTGTCTTATTTATCATGTTATTAGAATTTTCCTCTGACGTTTCATAAAATAATTTTATATTGTCATTTTTATAAGTCGTATACTTTCTATTTCAAAGTAATACAGCTTTATTATAATGTCTTTTTATATTCATGGAGTAATGTATAGTGCTTTATACATACTATAAATTCTCGTATTTATTTATATGCACTTTTATTATAATTTTGCATCTACTTTGATTTTGCTTCGAAAATAGAAGAGAGAATGCCGCTGCTGTACACAACTCAAGAAATATTGAATAACACCCTTCATCATACAAACCACCTACCATCTTGTACATTTCTCCCACACCCTATACCGTACAACGTGCAGACTTCACTGTAATATCCTTATCCTACTGATCGTGCAACACTCTAGCACAAAAATCATATGTGATGTACATGTTATGTTCCTGCAATGGATGCATATATATTACACAAATGTCGCAGTGTAATTCCATTAACTGTTCTCCCTGGATATTGTACCAAGAGGTGAGTTCTTCTATGCTTTCAAAAATTTTTATATGTAATAAATCTAAATACATATAAAGCAATATCTATAGACCAGTTATGTTTTAAGCACACAGTGTTTCTACAAATTTGTTTAACTTCGAAAACTAATAGTAACATTTACACATACACACACACACACACACACACACACACACACACACACACACACACACACACACATAATATA